GGAGCAAGTACTGTGGCTCAGCGATATTACTATTTCAGACCCCTATTTCATCCCTTCCCCTAGTGACTGGAGGCTCGGTGTATTTGGCAATCAAGGTATGTCAATGCGATTCGCCCTGACCATCCCTAATATACAATTCTTTACGACGAGAACCTTAACCTTGCAACTGTAGCGCGGTGGAGAAATGGGTATGGACATAAAGAATAGTCCCCTTGGAAAATTTATGCTTGTTGGAATGCCCCTCATTTCGACTGTTGCCATGCTGTTCTGGCCCGCCGTTTTGCAACTCTACTTCGCCAGCACCGGTATCCTTGCCCTTGTTCAATCTTATCTAACGACCTCTCCTGGTTTCCGCAAATTTGCTCGTCTTGAGCCGCTTCCAAAACCTGAACCTCAAGATCCCAACACCACTGGAATCCCTAGTCGCATCCGTGTCATTCCAACTACTGCACGCGCCGTGCCAGATGCACAACAAGAACCTGAACAACAAGTTTACCCGGCGCAGAAGATCAGCGTCATTGACCGTGCCCTCGACAACGTGAAAACCGGAGTCCGTGACATGCAGAAGCAGGTGAAAGAGAAGATGGATGAAATGTCAGGAAATAAGGAGGAAACGAACCCCGATGGAACACCAAAGGTGTCACGATTGTCTAAGCAAGAACTGGAGAATGCAGCGGCCTACGAAAAGCGACGGAAAGAACAAATTGAGATGGAGCGAGAGTTGAGAAACCAAAGGCTAAGGCAACAATATACCATGAAGAACGGAGACCAAAACGGGAAATGAAGAGAGATTTGATGGTTTGTATTATTTATGAATCCCTGGTTGCTTCGTTCATGAACATATTTGGCGAAATTGTGATATAGTTAGCAGATTTGGGTGGGTTTATTTCCTTGCTTCTTCATGGCCTCTCCAACTGTTGAGCCCTTTGCTTCTATCATTGTATTAACTCCTTAGAGCCTTCACTTGGTGGCGTTTGATTAGACCATGTGCGCTGCCAGAACTAAGACTATATAATTCAAAGAGAAGCAATCCTGCCAGTGGCGCGCATCCATATGAACCAAGCTTGCTAGTATATCCTAAACGAGGGATATCCCCATTGTCACTTACACACATAAAAAATGCATATATGCCAGACTCCGTAAATGCCCAATCCCTCTGAACGCCAGTGTCCCCAATATTTAAAATTAGACAGCGTCCTATCACTTAAGAACGGCAGTGGAGATAATTCAACCTCAGTGAAGGGCGAAATCATCATCTAAATAGCCTCCTTCCACCACTGCCTCCTGGAAGAGTCCATGTAAACGCACCCCGGACAGAAAGCCCATTCATACTCAACCCCGTAAAACCGACTCCTCCACCCTCTCCATCACGCCGATATCGCCGAAAGGCTTCTCGCAGGTGAGAAGGAAGAAGAGGGCCACGATGCGGGTTGGGGGGGCGCTTAAATGGTTTTCTCCTCCTGGCCGGGTGTGGGCCACCTGTCGCCCCTGTTGTGACAGCGGTGGTTGCTGTAGTGCTTGGCGAAATATTGGGAGAGATCGTACTGTGGAGGGTTGTCTGTGTGGAGCTTGGTGGCGTTGTTATCATGGCGCCGTCAAAGCTCTGAGAGTCTTCAGTTTTTAACGCTGGTTCTTTTGGCCCTTCCGACTTTGGATTGGATGGGTCGGTTTGCGCCTGAGAAGGGGTATCTGCTATTTGTTCTGTATTTAAGGACTCCTCCAGAGCAGCTCTGGCTTCCTCAGCCTCATATGCTTCGAGAGCTGCCCTATCAGCCGTATCGGCCCACTGTTCCTGCACGGTCCGCGCTTTCTCGACCATCTCTCCAATAAATATCTTCGTATATCCGCTAATTGTGGTGATCACGTTGGGTGGAACGGATTGCGAAAGCGTTTGATTGACAATTTTGCGCAGCGTAGGCTTGTTCAACTTTGCGCGTTTGAAAAAGTCGTATCGTTCTGACTGCTCAGCGCTGAAAGCATCGATCAAGATGCTATTCCGCAAATACACGCATTAGCGACACTTTCTCGTCAAGGTCACGTATACTCACGCAAGGTTCTTCCTTTCCGCTTCCGCATCCACCGCAACATCATCACGTCCCATCAACTCTGTATCTCCTAAATCGTCATCTTCTTCTTCCGCTTCCTCGTCACCAACGCCTCCCTTGGCAGATACGCCTTTCCCGCCAACAGCGTCACCGCGAGCACTTCCGCTCGCATCGTCACGGTCTTTTTTGGCCTTCCTTTTCCTTCCCTTTCCAACACCAGTACCGTCAATGCTCCCGTTCAGTGAACCAGTAAAGCTGCCCGAAACGCTCGCGCCATCAATCTCCGATCTTGCGCTCGTAGTGCCCACATAAACGCGGGGGTCTGTATCCGTAGAAGTAGGGAAAGAGGTTTGGCGAAGTGGATGGAACCGCGGCCTTTTGGCAGGCAGTGAAGATGAGGCTAATCCAGGGAGAGATGATCGTTTCTTGGGATTTGCAACGGGTAGACTGAGAGGAACGGGCGGCGGAGAGAGGGACATCGTGAAAGGGTTATGGTGAAGAGAGCCGTGGGTTTGATTTGACGTTTATTTCAAGTAAGATATTTACAAAGGCCGTCAAGGAGGGACAAACTCCAGGCCATTTTGGTTCAGTCACCCACAAAGCGTCGTTGAGCTTCTCAACTCGCGCTTCCAGCAGCGAAATCGACGGGTTGAATGAGATCAGCTGCTTATGTAATTAATTCTAGTTAGTGACTAACGGGTGAATACTATTCCCGAGGATCGTATGATTACTAATCCAAACCTCAGGCTTCCCAGATTCTTGTCCGGCATCAACAAGCAGCTTCCAGATGTGCTCACAAACCCTCAAATGACGGAAATCACACTGAAAAAGGTATTATCAAAGTCAAGTTTGGTACATCCCGCATTCAGATCCATTCCTTCGCCCGTACTCAATACTCCCAGGCCCGCTCGAATATCCCCAATCTTGTTTCTTCCCAAAATTCATGCCATACCTGCGAAAAGCGGGTTACATCTATATCAGGCAGAAAAGCGCCCTCAATTTCCCTTTCGGCATCTGGATCTGCCATTCTCAATCCATTTTGCGCGCCCCATCTTCTACAAGCACAGCCCCTCCATTTTTGACCGCATACGTAGCAGAATTGTGCACCACATCTACATCTATACCACATTGTCAATGAAAAACCTCGCCGAATTAACAGATTAAAACGTGAGTCAAATCTTACGTGACTTGGTAGCAACCGCTGCTCAGTTCGACCATACTCCTACAAGCGTAACACCGCTGCCAGCCCCGGTTCACTGCGAGATTCAATGTTGCTGTCAAAGAGACGTCTTCAGGGCATTCACCCTCGTGATACTCGTTTGTGCACTTTGTGCATGTTGTTGAGCTGCAACGGACACACTGCGCTCGCGTTGCTCTGATATGCTTGGGAAGGATGAACCTCCCACAGTTGCGGTTGCTACAGTATGTCCTTTCTTCGGTGGAAAACTCGATCTCAGCGGCCCTGAATTCTCGGATCTCGTCGGGTGACATTTCAAAGTAGATGTGTGACAAGGGTATTGGCTGCTGACAACACCTAGGAGGGAACATCGCTTCGTTTTTCATTGCCTCCAAGAAGTACTGTTTCAAGCATCCGTGACAGAAGGCGTCGGTACATGGCAAGCGGGCAATGTCCCATGGTAGAAAGAATTCGCAACAAACGGAACAACGGATTGCCCTATGCGTCGGAATGGCGAGAGCCCCCAAAGGTTGCCCCTGATGTCTTGGGTATGGTGTTGAGGGGCCGCTTTCACCTTCTAATCTGCCAGGCAAAGGACCGCCGCTGAGCTGGGGAAGATGTGGATTGCGAGAGCTGAAACCAGGATCGATTTGCGGCCTTTCAGCTCTTGGGTCTATTCCATTGATACGCCATGCTGGGAATCTGGCTTGGACGGGAGGAATCGGTTGGCCATCCATATTCCCGGCGTGAGCGCTGCGATTTGCAAGTCTCGGGTCGTCTAAATGTCCGATATAAACTGCCAAGCCAGGTTGGAGGGCGATCCTCTCGGCCTGTACCTGATTTCTTGTTGTCATGGCTGGAAATCTCATGAGACTGCAAGACAAAGGCGGCAATCTCGTTATGCCTATCCTATTAAATAAGCTGGTTAGCTGTAGACTTGTAGGGGTATCTAATAAGTAAAACCGCCTTCTAAACTGTGCGGATCAGTAATCAGAATTGAGAACCGGACAGTTCATTCTCTCACCGTGCAATAAATACACGGAGGACTCGCTCAGTCCTAAATGTATTTGACGTCATTAATTCTGGGAGCGCAACCTTTTCAAAAGAAATAACAAGTGCAGCCTAGAGTCACAAAAGATTAAGCCTTCCGAGTACCTCCTAAATACGTATACGACCCTCCTTATGAGCTGACTACGACACACATCTAGAATGTGCACTGCCTGTTCTGTAGAACTGTCACTGCTTCATCAACACCCTAGTTCTTTTTACGAACTTGAGCAGGATGGGTCTGAGTTGTGATAGAGGTCCATTCAACCAATTTAGCCTAGTCCAGTAACAGCTTTCCATGAAAGCAGCGCAAAATCGAGGTCAATTGTAAGAATGAGCGACATTTCCTGAGTACGTACAGAGTATAAAATCACCAAAGAGAACAAGGGAAACAAATGTTGTAGACGCCCTGAGTGTACAGCTTCGCTGTTGTGAAGGTTACCGGTCACAAGTTGTGTGTATCAGAAGCCAGTCAACCTGAGAGGCCACCGAGTCGAAGAAAATCAATCATTAGTAATCCCGGAATGGACTAAGAGATTAGAGTCCGAAATGGGATATCAGAAAAGAGTGCAATTTCAAAGGAATAATCCACGATATCAGTTATCAATTTAGAATCCAGCCTCACCGATTCTTGGGGCTCCTCCCCTCCAGTCATTACGCTCGTAGTAGCGAAACACGAGGTCATAACCATCCAAATCATGGACAATCGAGTCGACACGCCGATATCCAGGAATATTCTCCATTTTCGCATTGCGAAGAGCGATATGGCGATGCAAAGTCTTAGTACTATGGATGTCGAGCGCGTCCGCTGAGTGGAAACTTGTAGGCTTCGCTTCAAACAAAGTAACACTGAAGCGCCCGGGTTTAAAGATATCCACCACGTGTTTGATAATATCAGCAGTTTCACGGCCAGACTGCACATGCGGAACGTTGGTCTCAAACGATGCATATGAACAATGAGGTTCAGGAGTCACATGAACCGTGAAGTAATGGGTGCCAGAATTGCGATCGGGAGACGGCACGACACCGTTGGCGGAGAAGCCACAAGGAGTGAAAAGGTAGAGCATCAATACGTGCATCTGGGATATTTGTCCATGGGATAGACATCAGAAAGTCCGCAGGAGTCGGAAACCACAGTGCCTAAAGCGTGGCCTTCGCTGGTCAACTCAGATGGCAAGGAATGGCCGGCATCCGAGTCGATATCGCTATTGTCCGAGGAATTGTTGCTGAACACATCCACATGGTGGTCATTGTCCCGGTGAAGAGACCGATGACGATCTTCTGCGACCGCACTCGCATGGTCGAGATAGAATTGTTTTGCATTCGTCTCGTCCAGATCAGTCATCAATATCTCAAGGGTCTCATCGTTCTCGTCACAACCTTTGTTCCGTCGCTTCATGCCATCGATGGCATCAGGCAAAGTCAAAGTCCTAGTGGAAGTCTCATGGTTTGGCGTTGTAGGCGGCGTCAAAGATGTAAACGGCTCAGTCAAATACAGATACCAGTGTTCCCCATTCATTTTGCCTATCATGTATGCACTTCCTCTCAAGAAGAGTTTATCCAAGGTGTTGACTTCGTCGCGCCAACTGCGGTGAGGTCCCCGCTGGCGGTCAGGAAAGAGGAAATTCTTCCGGCTATAGAAGACCCGATAGGGAGCTGCAGCGCTTGAAATACCACCATAGCAGGGCGGGCTATTTTTTGGAAAGCCGGCGTGCAGTGCTGCTATTTCCAGGATTCGGGGTAGGCCAAGAAGAAGAGTTGTAGTGCCACACGTCTTGAGGATCAGCTTGTGTGGGAACACGAACATGCTCGATTCGGACAATAGGTAGGCATCGACATCGTCGGATTCGACGATCGACAGAACTTGACAATTGACCAAATCAAGCATGCCCTTCCATATCTCTGGCGAAACGGCTTTCAACCCGGTTGGAACACTGGTACCATCGAGATCTTGAGCAGATGGGCTGAACCAAACCTCTAGGAGCTTCTCAGGACCTATTGATATATCAGTCAGCGAGATATTTGGTAGTCAAGACGTCGAGAGCACCAACCTTCAAAGGCGTTGCTTGAATCGAGGTCTACGGTCGCGCCATGATTGATTGTCAACGACGGCGTCCCCACGAATGAGGATGACGAAGTCGAATAGTTATTTGGAATATCAATGCTGACCATATCCGAAGATGGATAGTAAAGTGGACGCCAAATGCCCGTGATTGCGAATACGCTTCAATGCAAAACGGCGATTAGGCGAGGGATGCTATGAAGCACTATCTTCCACCCAGACGAACGGTGCGGTGTTCGCCTGAGAAGAGACGGCCCAAAGTTCACAAAAGACGGTGCCGGATAGCCAGCAAAACAGGTGTATGCGGTAGGGACCTCCGAGGTGGTGCTAGGGAGGTCGGGCGGAGAGGGGGATGAAAAACGCTCGTAGACCGGGAATTGTGGCCAGTCTCGGTGTACCCTCGAACTGACAGATACCGATACCGATCAAAGTATCGGGTCTAGCAGACGAGGATATCTGCTTCTGGAGTAAAAGGAATTTGAGTAGAATGAGAAAACGAGGAAGGGAAGGTTGTCAACAAGCAGTTAGCGGGTGTTATCTGGGTCTAGAGATGAAGAAATGCCCACGTTAGCTCCCGAATTTGATCACATCACGCTAAAGTTTGAATCGAATCGAAGCTGAGGGAGCAACAAGCAAATATTTACTCACTTTGCGGGCTTCGAGAGAAATCGCAGGAGGTCCTTCCGGCTCATGGAGAGAAAGCAGAGGTTCTCTTCAGAGTCAGGTACGGCAAGTAAACTACGCCGTTAGATCATTTATACTGATCGCCGTCCGTTTGTTTCGAGATTCAACAATGGTAGAGAGAGGTTATGGAAGAGATCGAAGTTCGACGGTGATAGCAGATGAGGAAGATGAGCAACTAGAACAAGGTTCCAGCAGGCCACGGCGGGGTGATGAATTGAAGTACAATAGTAACGGGTCGTTCCACGGCGTTGACCGGAGAGCTGAAAGGGTTAGTTAGGCCTCATAAGTCACAGCCCAAGCGAAAAGTGAAGAGAAGACAAAAGACTCACAGCTTGCTATTCGCCTGATCTGCTCGTCGGAATCACTTTCGCAGTCGGAAGTTTAAAGACACAATGACGATGGTGGCACACGAATCCAATTTCGTGTCTGTGCCCAATTGGCAAGAAAGTCCCAACGAGACCACACAGAAATTGCTGCTCGACACAGTTATCAGGAGGGAAAAAGGGACGAGTTGAGTGCAAAGAAGAGGGGCGTCCTGTTGATCTGACGGTGCGGGAAAAAAATTGCGCATGCGACAGTTGGATATAAAATCAAGGGCAAGGGCCAAATCGGGCCTTAGCACCGTATTAAACGATGACAGGGCTGGTACGTCACACGGGCAGGATTATGTAAGGCTTACGCCCGGGCTGCTGGAGGATCATCGTTTTTCCCGGGACCACATCGTCACGTATTGTACAGCTCGCGATAATCAACCGCCCTTGATCTCCAACGAAAAGCCTTCAGTTCGGAAGAATATCAACACACGACATGGCTGGCAGTGTAAATTCGGAAGCTCAATCTGCTTTGCCCCTCCATGTCCCTGCTCGACCCCCTGCATTGTCGGTTACGCCCGGAGAACGTATTGAGTCACATGACCGGGTTGCTTGCAGGGAGCTCTTGTCCCTTGCATGTATGGAAAAGCAGGAACAAGACAGTAAAAGCTCATCGGAAAGTCTCAATTGTGTAGGTATCATAAGTTTAACTAGCAAAATACCGAAGTCCTCAAAACGCCAACGCTGCAATGCAGACCAATCCGCCGTGAGCCACCCGTCCTACCCAGTGGAGAACGCCGCAGCAAAGCCTGAAAAAGAATAACCAAGCCAGACAGTTTTCAGAGCTTCCCAATAATAGCTTGGGCGAGTCGCAAGTTACCGGAGTCTGTAATCCGGGAAGCCAGCACCAAGCCAATCTTCTCCCCTAGCTGCTGATTTAGTGTCTCCATGGCTCCATTCGCAAGCCCGTTTGTAAGAGGCGCTTTCTCATCTTGAAGCGTTGAAAGAGCTGCGACTATGACCCCGATAACCTTTTCCGCCTCTAGTTTTCGGAGGCCTTCGTCCCCAGCAGCGTCCTTCAGTACCACCTCGTACATTGCAAGATTAGGCACAATCAATTCGCGAATAACGTCGGGCCCTCCGATTGAATGTAGTCCGATAATGGCACCATAGTGTGTGCCAAACGGTTTACTGGGATCCATGAAATTCTTCAGGAATGTTCGCGCTAGTCGAGGTTTGAGAGTGTGTGACGAGTGCGAATATTTCTTAGAAATCATTCCGATAAGTGAGCCCGCCAGATCGCGAAGTGTAAAATGCTCCAGAGGATCCGAGCCACCTTCAAGTTGGCGGCCAATAAGGCAGGTTAAAACTGGCGGAATGAGAGAGGCGACCTATAGACAAATCAGCCCGTTACTGAGAAAACACACAAAGTCCATGAGATACTCTACTTACATATGGGTCGACGTATAATGACTTGTTCTGTATCAACGCTTCGGTCATATGCATCATCTGCGTCAACACAAACAGATCCTTCAAGCTATGCGTTACCTTTTCAGATATAAACTGCACAAAATACGGAACGAGTTGGTGCAACCCGGGGTCTTCCTTTAAGCTCGCAAAGGCTGATAGGCGGTACTCCTCGTTCGACTCATCCAAGAATGCACTGCACACCCTCTCAAAGTATAGTTGCAATTCCTTTGACAGAATGTGCTTCACCAGCGGCTTCACCGTCACATTCTCGTTCCCGCTCATGGCGGCCAGATTGGCGTTCGCATTAGGTCCCTTGGAAATCAGTTCCAGGTTGCGTGAATCGGCGGACGTGGGGTTCTGAGGGATTGTCGGTTGAACACCTTCCACAGCCAACCAGTGAGCTGTATATGGCGATACATTCAATCAGTGAGGTGAACATCAGGATAACCACGGGGAAAACAATACCAGTGAAAGTAATCTCCCTCGGCACCTTCGGTAGGGGTGCATTGATCAACTTCTCAAAATCCACCTCGTCGTCCTCAACATAAAACAGGGGCTGTCCGGGTCCGATTGTAGCTTCTCCAAATCTCAGAGGCCGAGTAGACTCGTAGCCATACAGCGGTTCAACGTCAAGTACTCTGAGCGCGTTCGAGACGTCTTGCGTTGTAAGCAATGTGCGTTTCCCATGCCTCATAAACTTATGCGATTCTTCAAGAACCTGAGAGACGCGGTACTCAACGTCTCGCGCAAGGTGATCAACAACCTCGTCATTCAGGGCGTTGATACCGACGGATTCTGCGACATCTTTGATATTATCGGGATTCCACACGAGCATGACGATAGAACTGAGGACGGGTAATTTCAACCGCGATGTTGAACCAGGACAGCTTCTCAGGGGCTGAAAGGAAAGGTCCGTAACTTCTCTGAGCAAAGAATCAAGATATCATCAGTATAGAGGCCATCAGAGTTGCGATTTAGCCTAGGGATGGCGCTTTTGGATGGTGCTCCGAAATTCGGATGATCTAGGCGGAGCTTTTGAACCTGCGCTTTGGGTGTGTTTGCATAGTTTGGCGTCCCGGTCAGGTGCATTTATCGGGGCACTTCAACAACTAGGTCTAGAGTCTCTGGAGTACGCACGGCGCATTCTATGATATGCTCAACATGTCTGAGTTTGACAACAGTTTGATCCAACAATATGACGATGATACAATTCTCTGCTCCATTTAATCAACCAACTCAAGCCAAAAAAAAAAAAAAAAAAAAATGAAAAGAAAAAAACACCGCCCCGCATCAAGATTACTACCACCAAAGAGGTTTAAAAGGTACACTTAGGATTAGATCATTGTAGAATCCTCACACTGAAGTGAAGCCCCATTCCTAAGAACCCAGAGGCTACCAGCTGTCAGCCTTCCTTTCACCCTTTCTGCAACTCAAGACTGCATATTGATTGTTTGATCACTGACTCGTTCTCGGATACCACCATTTCGGCGGCATGGCTTCCATAAAATGTGGTCTGCAGCGAAACCTGGGTATGTGTAAGACGAGGTTGATTTGTTCGAATTCAAAGAATCCTACTCGTCATTTCCTAATCTGCCTATATAAACGGTATCTTTCCAGGACTTGGTCAATGGTTTGAGGCTTTTTCCCCTCTAATTCCCTGTCTATATTCATAATCATTGTATAATCTGAAAACTCAGGGTTGATCTTTTTTATTGTAACCCAGGAACCGTTGAACCATATATCGCTCACCAGCACCCTTATTGAGCTTGCGTAATTGTTCAACAACCGTAAACCATCTTTGAATGAAGTCCATAATGTTTGAACACGTGGGACCCTTGGAAAGATTGTCATATTCCTCTTGAACTTCTCTCTCTCTCACAGCATCAGAGTGAGAGTATCTGAACTTCAAGATAACAAGCCATTCCCTAGGATCTGTTTCCTGAATGACATACCCACGGATATTTGGCGCAATTCGTTCCTGCATGTATACAATAATGCCCCGAAGGCCCTTTTGTTTCAGTCTATAGAGCTTCCGATCACGCTTCCATTTAATGAGCTTTGAAGGGTTTTCAATCTCTTCTGGGGTCAATGGTTTGGGCTCTTCGAGGATTGCCGGCTCTTCATTCGGATCAATGTATTCCCAAATCTCTAAGGAAACAGCCTCATGCTTCGTTTGGGCGATCCATTTGATTTAATCCCTATGGGACTTCAGTATAATGGCCATCGCTCGTACGTTCGTCCGTTTGGTCGTTCTAACGTTCGTTCGGTAGGTTGATCGTATAGTAGATTGATCGTCGTTTGGTTTGGCTTTTTCGATTCGGTTGGGTATAGGGGTTCAGAGTCGTCAGATCGGCAAATTAACAACCAATCTGCGGAATATCTCTTAGAAGAGGATATGGGTAATTCCGTGTCTAGATTAGGAACTTCAAACGAAATAACAAGTGAATCTATAAGCACCCGCTCATAACTTAGGACGAACCTTTAAGGTAGAGCAAGGCAAGACTTCCTAGTAAAATGTAGGGGGGGTGCTTGGATATGAAAATAACTGGTTCAATTGTTCTGTGTACAGAGTACTGGGGTTGAGACTTGAGACTGTATGAGTATTTCTAGATTAGTTACCTAAGCTATCAGATTTGTTGTTAGAAATAGACACTAACTAAGAAAATTGATGCTGACAATTAGTGAAACCATCTTGATACAGAGTACACTCTCCTATCTCCATATATGTTGAGGTCTTATTTTGTCGTTGAAAAATGGTCATTGGGCCAAAGCACTGCTGGTATCTGAACTATTGTGCTAGAGATAAAGTAAAGTAGCTATTATGCATGTGTTCAGCACAGAAAAGGCCACTATTTCGTGTTCAGAGGCCATAATCTGCATCAGCCTTCTAGCTGGTACCCGACTTCACCCCGTAATTCATTGCTATTGAGGTACAGTTTTCAATTGTATATCAACAGTTAGTTCCTTTGATTGATTCAATCTACTCAATTTTTAAACTACCTTTGACGGCCTTGTTTGGGCAAAGTACATTAGTATGGAGACTAGGAATTTTAAGAAGCATGCGACCCTTTTTAATCATTGTCACGAACAACACGCCGGAGGGGAATATCGCCTAAGAAGACACAACGCCGTAAGACGGAAGTCGAGTTACAAATCGTTTGTGGTATTGAAATTGATGTGAATTAGCGAGACATATCCATCAATTCTGGCGTACATTGGCAGGAGCGTCAGTTGGAATCTCAACAGTGACAGTGCTGTCCTGTTGTTTGTTGTCTTGGGCAGGTTCCTTTGTAATGTCCGCAGGGGTCGGCTCTGGTTTCGGCGGAGCTTGAGCGCCATCCCCATTGTCCTTTGCGGCGTTTGCAGGTACCTCAGCAGCAATATCGTCCTGGAGTGCGACAGTCCGGCCGGTCTCAGATAGAGGAGCCCCTTTTCCACCGTATGTCTTGGGAATCTCTTCGCCAAACGTGCTAAATTCGCGGGATAGATTAAGGCCATTGGTAATCGGATGGAACTTTCGAATGGTATTTTTGCTAAGGAAGACTTTAAGAGCAGTGAACACCCATCCCATCACAACGGGGACATTGACAAAATATTTTTCTTTTAGAAGCTCCGGGTAGGCCATACTGAAAACTTCAATGGTCTGGCGAGATGCGGCGCGGATATTTGGATTCATTCGAAGAAAGCTGACATTTTGGTAGTCGTGAACTTGGATCATCTGGTATGGGTCCTCGCCGTTATAATCCATGACGGAAGTAGCATCTCCCAGGCGGAGTTCACGAATAGCCAATTCCATCAATGCAACACGCCAGTTAATGAACCTAGTAACGTGGTTAGTCCAGTCGTTTCTTAAGAGTCGTGTAGCACTTACTCCTCAAGGTTGCCAAAAGTCACGTCGACGTCCTTCACGGAGCCATAAATGTTCCAGGTAAAAACCACATCTTTCCCGCTATTGGCATCATGGTGAGTCGTGATATAACCCAAGCCTCCAAATTTGCTCGTAGGAAACGTAGTATTGTCCGTCAATGCAAGAGGCTTCATCTTCTTGCGCCATTCAAGAGCTTTAACGAGTTGTTCTTCGGCAAGTTTAACATTTCCTTCGTTTGCTCGAAGAAATTTGATCATAATATTGGCGGTAGGTGGGTCATGGGCATCCTTAAGGGTAACACCCCACATTTCATTGTGGCCGGTAGTCTCGATGGCTGGGGCGAGGCGATCGAAAAATTGAGATAATGCCGGGTTATCAACGAGATAAGCAGGGCGCGCATCAGCAGGCTCTTTTGTAGCATCCGCCACTTGAGCGTGAGCGTCAGCGTCAGCATCAACGCCGGCTCCATCCTTCACCTCTTCAGCAGTATGGGACTTTTCCTTATCCGTAGTTTCAGCAGCAGGTGGGGAAACAGTAGTCTCCTGAGACTCCTCCTTGGTGGAAGCGTCAGTCAGTTTTTCAACTGTCTGGGAGCCTTCAGCGGGGGCTGCAGCAGTGGTAGCATCCTGAGGCACGTCAACTGCCTTTTTAGCAGGCTGTTCAGAGGCCACTGGCAAAGTTTGGGTTGGTTGCTCTTGTTGTTTCTCCATGCTGAGGGGAGGAAATGGCGAATATCGTATCGAGCTACACGTACTATCAGACTTCCAGTTAGCTTTGACATAGACACTAACGATAACAGACTACGGCATTCTCCGGCAGGGCTCACTTACTGGAGGAAATGGGATGATGATGGCCCAAGCCCGGCACGTGAGATGGACTGTGCTGGCAGTTTGGATAATAGTTATTTCAGGGAGGATGAGAGCAAGACAGAGAGAACAGAGAGAAGAGAACAGATGGAGATCAGCAAGAGGACAAGAGGTGATGTCCAGACGCAAAAAGCAAAACCATCCAAAACAGGCAGAATCAAAACAACCCGTCCCAAAGAAGGAGGAGCAACGACATAATCAGGAGCTTTCCTGAAACAGTCGGGAAGCTTCCCCAGGCTAGGAGGTACTAGTGATCAAGCTATGCAGCTTGACAAGCTTGTGGCGTGATTGAAAGTTCAATGATTGGCATTGAATTAACATTAGTGTGCAACCTTGAATTATCAGATGGCCCTTGATTATCTAATCATGGTCGGATGACTAAGCTGGGCAAGCTGGACCCTTGATATCAAGATCAGCCTCGTCGATATTCAGGCACACATTCTTCCCGGTGCTTGAAGGCTGTCTATTACTTTATTCTCTGTTTCAGGAGACGAGAAATCTCCGCTCAAGATGACTCTCAAGCACTTATTTGCTGACCTCCATGGACGATATTCCAGCCGTCGACTTTTTGGGGCCCCCAAGCCCCATCATCGTATTTGCACAAGAAAGGCTGCCGCGAACAAGACTGAAAGTTATCTTAGGCCGCGCGCATCACACCAGTCTCCTCCACAAAACACGAGCACGGCCAATCTATATCCCACAACGGCCCCTCGCTAGCCCCTCATAGCCACCTGAGAATAGCAAGAAAGTCGAGTTGTTGTAACAAACCTCCGTCATACTCTTGCCGGCTGTCCTTTGTTTCCACACGAGGAGTCCACCTCTACAGACTGAAAGGCGGGACAAAAATAACTCACGGGAGATCAGAATGTTGATCACTGACTTCAAACCCGGATCCCTCTGTGTATATAAACCTGCTCTGATCTCCCTATGAAAGTCTTGCTTCCTACCAGCCAGGGAACCATTGCATCTCTTCTTCCTAGTGATACTCCATTCAATTGCAACTCCATTTTATCTTCCAACCGGACAACATGCGCGCCTTTATTTCTATTCTTTTCAGCGGTGCGCTCCTCGCATCCCAACTCTCCCTGACAAGCGCCACACCCACCCCACGCGGCCTCTCCGTTCCCGCGCCGCCGGCTGATCCGCCAAAACCCTCTAAAGGCGACGGCATCGGCCCCTACGACTCCAAAGACTCGGGCTTTGGCGACTGGGTCGCAAAGCAAAAGTTCAAGGCCATGGCCACCGCAGCAGACGGCCTGGGCCTCGACAACGCGGCGAGAAATCTCCGCCATTATCTCGGAAACTCGGGCAAAACTTTGTCTGTCTCGCCAGAGAATATGCTCAAAGACCTCTCCGGACTGAGCAAGCAAGTCCGGATCCTTGCGCAGAACGAGGCTGGCGACGCGTTCAAAGCCATCAAGGGCGCAAAGGGACAGAAAGCCTTCTCCAGCAAATGGACGAATTACTATGCTACTACCAAGGAAAGCAAGGATTGGTTTTATGCCCTGGGGGGCTTCTCGTTCAGCGTCACCGGCGTGGTAAGCAAGAGCAGTGCGAAATCCGGAACGCTCAAGTACGCCGTGCATATCTTCGACCGATATAACTGGGATGGCGGAAAGTCCGTCGATATCGGGCCATTCCACTTTGAAGATCGTGAGTTGGGCGAACTGCATTTGAAGGGAGAGGCGAGAGAATACCTTGTCCGCGGAACGAGCAAAGTGGTTACAGTGAAGAAGTATACACCAAGTACCAAGATCCCTCTGCCCAAGCCAAAGGGTGGCAGAAGGGATTGAGGTCAATCTAATGTATCCTGCAGTGTATAGCAAACCAAGTGATGACTCACGGCGATTTTGATGGATTTATGAGGTTAACATTCTCTTCATTCTTTTCTTCCCCTTCTTTTCCCTCTTGACCCTTGTCTTTTTATTTTTCTGCCCGTTAATATTGTTCACCTCTCAGTAGTTCGCTTGTATCAAATAGGGAATTTGTTTTGGTCTGCTGTTGTTCAATCAAATTCTGTCGTCCCAAGACCACATCTCCCTCCAGTAATTACTGATGCATGTGTTTCAAATAATAGGACCTCTCGACAGGGGCCCATATGCATAGAATGTTCACCACAATCAAATTGTCTCCAGAAACTTAAAGTCTGTGTTAACTCTTAAACAGAGCTTACCGTCCCGAAATTCACCAACATAACAACGGGTTCTGGAGCAAGCCACAAGTTGCAATCAGATTTCCATTCTCGTCTAGTTGGGGAATATGGATTATGCTTCAGAAAACAGAAACAACACTAATACACGATAAGAGATTTGGAATACCAAGCAGGGTAAATTTGTATACAACCGGTTATCATTTCGCAAACCGTTGTGGAAGTCCGGGTACAGGTGGATGCTGTTGGGAGATGTCCGCGGTGTCTTCATCTTCCACCAATTCATCCATTTGTTCTGGATGTCTAACAGAGGCACAAATGTCAGTAAACTAGTCTGTAAGAGAGGGCAAGAAGACTCATACCCCAATAAATCCTTCACATTGGCCATCTCATAATGCTTCTTCCTCCGTTCCTCAAATGCAATGTGTTTCTCCCTCTCCTCTAAACTCTCTGTGCGATGAAGTCCCTCTCCAGCATCATCCCCCATCACAACATGTTTCTCTGGCTTGCCCGAAGCGCTGGTGTCGCTGACACTCCGGGCCCTCGTAATCCTCGAATCTCCAACCGTATCGTTCCAGTGCATTTCCTCAGGCTCTCCCAGATCCAAATCGGGAATATCATCTTCGCGAGCGCGACGATTCCGTCCACCTTTCTTCTGTGCCTTTTGCATCTCCAGCTCATCGACAGCCACGTCATCCGCATCGATTCCCCCAACGTCCGGATCATCGTCCTCGTCCTCCTCCTGGTCGGGATCGTAATGCGGCACATATGGAGTTTTCGGCTCGTCGATCTTCATCGTTGACGATCGCTCCTGTTCCGTCAGGTAGAGGTTCACCTCGTCCCATTTCAGCTTTGGCGAATTTCCATCTTCGCCTAGAGCACCATTGGCCTTGGAGACACTCGACTGGCGCCGCGATATCGGATTGTAGTGCTTGCCGGCGTTGTACATGGTATTTTGGAGGGTTAGCTCCTTGTTGTCTGCCGGCGACTGGGCTTTAAAGGGCGATTGCGGAGAGGTTGGTGAAATTGGCGCGTCACCCGGTGGCGAGAAAGAAGCCGTTTGCACCGAAGATGAGGACTTCTTTAGGATGCCTTTTCTCCAGACAAGGCCTCTTGTGAGCAAAAAGGGTCCCAGGGACGGGGTTCAAAGGAGGCGCGGTCACTTCATAACTCACCCTTTGGGCGCTTCGGGACATTCTCACTCGAGTGAGGAGCATGCATTTGTTGAGTTTCCATATTAAAATACCAAGATTCTTCAGAATCTAAATAATGATAGAATCCAATCCCTCAAAATTTTTCTCTTCTGCGCATGGAGCTCTTGAGGTACCCTGGGGCTTGAGCGGGGTAGGCTAACCTGGGCAAAACGCGGGGTGTCGAAACGAAACGTCCACAGCAAGCCAAAGGGCAGCAGTGTAGAGAGGCTGAGGTTAAAATTCGGGCTCATGGATGAAGGTATTCACCTCCAGTCTTCTGACCCAGATGTTGGCAATCTGCCATCTCCCGCGATGCGCGTTCCTTTTGATGGTGGTTGCAGACAGTTGCAGCACGTGCTTGGCACAATGACGTAAGGTCATGGGAGTCAGGAACAAAAAGCAGTTTGACGGCAATGAATGACCTGCACGGTTTGTCTTTGACAATGGACTAAAGACATGTCTAACACACGACCGTTGTCATATGGCGGTTGCTGAGATTGAGACCAGATCAAACGGTGGATTAGATGGACATCAGCTGATTTCCTATAAAAATCTCTTTTTTATCCTGTTTAGGGCCTTATTGAGCAACTGCAATCCCTCCCAGCGAACATGACTCCGTGCAAAGAAAAAGCAAATACTAATAACTCTTGGGCTTTGAGGGCAAGAGTTAAAGGGCACCCCAATATCACGCCAAAAAACGAATGAAGGATATAACCAGCTACTATATCAAAACACCTCCAGCATAACTGGAGCTAAATCACCCAAATGGTGTCAGACACAACACACATGAATACAAGACAGCTTGGAGACTAACACAGATATCCTTCCAAACAAGTCTCAGCAAAACTCCAATGACTGTGTTTGGATTCAACAGAAATTTTGGTACTTTTTTCTTCAGACAAACAATCGACCAAACGAGTATCATGCATATAATATGTTTTAAAAATGGAGAGACAGACAGCCACCCATTCCTAAAAAACATGTATTCCACAGAGATATAATATAAGTAACAAGGAACTTGGTTTCCGGTGCAAGGGGTATAAAAGAGATCCAGTGATCTCAAAAGTCAAAACAAACAGGGGAAAAGAGGATAAACCTAGCGCCGATACTGAAAGAAAAAAGAAACTGCAAGACTCAATCGAGTTCAAATACCAAAAAAGACAGTGGTCACAAAGCAGGCACAACTCACGGGTTGCCATGGAGCTCTCTCGTTACACAAATGACTCGAATTCTTCTCGCTCGCGCAGCCTGTTTTGCGCCAGCTCGTCACCGCCAGCGGCTGACAGTTGCATCCAATGCAGTGCAAGGCACATGCTTTGAGGATCAGATTTCGAGTCAAGGTCTCGCCGATACATCATTTCGGCCTTGAAGGTATCTCGAGGCATTGTGAGCGGAAGCGTCACCCGCGGGAGTATCTCTGGATGAGTGAGATACAAGATCGCGAGCTCTCGCTGCGCGACAGCATTACCCTCCCGAGCGGTGATAATCCACATTCGAGCTGCATCTTCGATACCGTTGCCAAATCTAGGGGAGAAAGGCGAGTGTCGTTGTCGTTGGTTCAATTCTTGCGAGACAATCTTATCTGCAATTTCAACCATGCTATGGCACAGATCATCCTTCAACTCGAAAGCGGCCAGCCCAAATTGCAAAAAAGCAGTTCCGGCATCAACTTTGTTCAGCACCTCCGACGGGACGAAAGCGGCAATGAACTGTAAATCTCGGAACAGTGTTTTTGGCTGAAATTTCTGGATAAGGTCCCGTAGAGCGCGAATGATCTGGTTGTCACTGGGTCCTGAGTTTATCGAAGATCCACTTGAAATTCCATTCAACCCCGGGGACGATGGCGTTGGGGTTTGGTCATCGGCTATATTTGGTGGTTTAGACCCCTCAGATATACTATTCCTCTGATGCTCTCGTCCTCCTTGTGCACCTCTAACTCGTGCATCTAATTGACCATGAGAAGCCTCAACGCTCGTGCCAGGAGATGTCAACGAGGCGATTACAAGACTGCGGAGGTCGTTCAATGCCTTTAGTTTTGTGAAGGGGTTTGCGGGTCGCGAAAATCCATCCATCAGCTGCTGGAACGCTTGCTCGTATTCAAAATCTTGGGTCCCCTTCGTGATGCTAGGATCATTGGACTCTGACGATCCTTTGCTTTCGCTGTATTTCGAGGACAAAGCAACTGCTGAATGAGTGCGTCGTAGCTTTCTTCCAGGCCGGTCATCCAGGGCGTGAATGGCTGAAGGTGTCGCTAGTTCGGCCAAAAATCGATCTAGTCTTTCCTGTTTGGACATCTGGACTCGAACGCGTGGTTGGTTCAGATAATCCGAAAACCAGGCATCAGTTTCGCTTCCGCAGCTCCAGACGGGAGACCCAAGATCGCTCAGCAGAAGACTGGTTAAAGTTTGTTTCAACTCATCCAGGAATGCCGCTTTACCAGGAGGACTACGTTCGAGTCTTCGCGTGGTCAAAACATCGCTGACCATTGATGCCGGACGGGACTGGAAACTAGATATGCTTGTCGTGGATTGGGCTTGTGTGTGGATGGGGGACCAGAATGGTTGGTAGGATTCGACAGTCGATGCAGCTCGACCGGGAGAGTCTCCAACCGACGATGTGTCAGCGCTAGCATCTCTGCCCTTCCATCTCTCTGAGCTGAGGCTCTGAAACGATGATTTGTGCACAAGCGATGGGATATCTGTCGGCGAGCGGAAAAGCGAGTCCAGGTTTCGGCCACCAAGTGGCTGAGAGGGGAAAGGATATAAACTATCCTCACTAGCAATGCTCGATGGGCGAATGCCTGTTCCGGCGCTAAGGGCCGTGAGAGGGCGGGTGCCAGGCGCCTCGAACATCGACCGCTCCTTTTGGTACAATTCGCTCGACCATAGAACGGGGCTATCAGTCATCGACTCCCCGACGAGCTTGCTAACGCTTGTTTTCACTTCGTAGCAAAACCGGTGTATTCTCTCTTCTCCTCTACAGAAATTGTCGATTCCAGACCGATGAAGAAATTTCCTCGTGATATCCACTTGTTCATCCGATAATTTCATAGGCCCTCCTTGGCTGCCAGAAGCTTTCATGACGTTCATGACCTGGATTTCCGGTTTTTGAAGAAAAGAGCCGCCGAGCGAACGTGAGCCAAATTTCGATTTAGGCTCAGGAACAGCTGATGGAGTTTGGAAACCTGCCATTGACTTCAGAGCGAGAGCGACGTTCCTGGCATCCTCATAACGCAATGAATTCCTCACATCGGTCATATACCACATTTTGTTCCTTAATTTTGCCAGGCCGCTCATAGACGTCTTGACTTGGGTCTGGAGATGCTTCAGAGTATGCTTCAATCGAATAGCTTTCGGGGAGCATCGACTGATGATTGAGCTGTCAAAGTCTGTGGAAACTTTCGCTGTCAAATACATGGGACCAAGAATTCTATCGTCGGTAACACGAGTTGGATTCCCGTTGCTGGCAATTCGGAGTAAGCGGGCAGCGTTCCACCAGTAGTGGGAAGTTGTAAAATTGGACTGGCGTTGACAATTCACCATATTGTCCATAAATCGGCGCCGTAGATAGGATGGTTCTTCGACACGGGCACGCGCATTCAAACATTCGTTTGTCTCAACCAAGCTGAATGTGTGCTCAAACTCATCAGTGAGCTTTATTACCGCAGAGTTAAGGGCATCACGATCTTCTCTTGATAGTCCGGTCCAATCACCCGAGCTTCTTTCCATTAACGGTGGATTTTCCTCGTCCAATCGAAATGACAACTTGCGTCCATCCCTAGAAATGGAAATAATAGCCCAATCTTCGCTAGTCGGACTACCCAGAGAATGACGGTCCTCGGACTCATTTATCTCAGAGATTTCATAGCGAATACGATCGGCGCTGCGAGAAAAGGACTCTTGCGGGGAAACAGGGCTTACAGTGCTGCTGGGCGGTACAGAATATGATTTCGGAGAATTCTGGAAGCTCATTTCTGCGGTGATGACAGTTTTAGCGACCGTGGGCCGAGTTGGAAAGGGGTCAATCCTTGCTTGAAAGAGACTCGTCTCGAACGGTCGACCGTCGTTTCGAATACCGTGTCCGATGAGCGGAGACGAGGAGCTAGACAGATTTTGGAAAGGATCCGGTGAATTCAAAAAGGACCCCGATTTGGGGAAAAGGGCGTCTAAAACCGTGGTAATATCTGTTGTGGATAAGGAAAGGAAATTTTCAGACACATCACATACGGATGTGCCGTCCGAAGGAAGAGGTGAAGGCATTGTATCGCTGTAACGTCTAGGAGATGATTGCTTGAAATGTGATAACATATTTTCTACATGGAGTCTGATTAGGGGCGGTGTAAGAGCAGCTTCGGGCCTAATGTTAGGAGTTAGATATATTCCAACGGATTTATATGGCGGTTGTACGTACGGGTGGTGCAAGGTGCGAGAAGCATAGAGTTGGGCTCTATGTGAAATTTGACTCAAAAGCCTGTCCCGCGCATCCTTGGTAATATGGAAATCGAGGAGTAGTCCGTGTGTCTGCAAGATTAGATAATGAGTGGACGGGTCGAAACAAGAAGCAAAATAACAGTTTCAAGAAGGTTTACTGACCTCGGGGTAGGAGATAGCAGTAGGGAGAAATTTGCGGAAAAACCATTGAGAAAATATAAAATCCAGAAATCTTTTGTGAGTTTCAGCGGTACCTAGTTTCTCAATGATAGCATTTCCAAGTTCGATGGCACCCTCAGGGAAACCCGCATCGGAATCGTCAAGTACGGCAAACAAGTCATGCACAGCAGATTGAAAGAATTGCTCAGCAACATCGGTTCTCAAAGGATCAAATCCATCAGTATCCAGGCCCAATCTACGGCCATCTGGGTACTCAAGCAGGAAGGCACCCTTTTGGAGAACGTCCATCAAGTAAACCTCAAGTTTTGGCTTTACCTTCCACGCAGTGGCACTGGACCATATGGACAGAATTTGACCAATAAAGGGGTAATAGCCGGGCCCGCCATGGGATATTAACTTGGCACAAGCTGACGACCACACGTCCAAACGAAGCCGGGCATCGGGGGAATTCGAAGCCATAGGTGCTGAAAAAACATTGAATAACAGAGCAGAAAGCGGATCGGTACGCTCAAATGCAAAAGCATGTTCCTTGAAAACATTGGAGTGAGAAGTTGTTCGCCTTGTGAAAAGTGAGGGTGGCTTGTTGCGAGAACTAAGCGGAGAGTAAACCTCACCGGCATCCACGGCATGAGCAGGAGAAATCAGGCCTGAAAGCTGAGCCGGGGTTAAACTCGCGATACACTGAAACAAAAAGTCCGAATCCGTTCTAACACGGGTCAGGAACTCGAGAAGGTCTTCCCGTGATCTTGGGGTGAGGCGCTGAGTGAAACTACCCGGGCGGGCTTTGGGGGAGGTCAGCAGCAATTCCAGACAAATCGTCATAGCCTTGGACATGGTGCCTGGAAGAAGATTCCCATAAATCACGGACTTCATGGATTGTGTTGTAGATAGAGATAAAGCCAGCCCTTGTCGCCATGCCTGAAATTTTCAACCAAACCCTTTTGCGTTGCTGCGGGAATT